CATAAATTAAAGACTTAATATTATTATTAAGGCCCTACAAACTATTGATAGATTAAAAATTAATCAACTTAAATAATAGTTTGTAATTCTTAATTGCCAAAATAACAATTAAATCCTTAAAATGTTAATGTCTCAAAACAGGCCAAGACAATAATTATAGCACTTAATCACTCAAATTAGCTCATAAACCTTAATAGACTAAGTGAATTATAACATGAATGATAAATGGTCTAGTACTGTAATAGACCCAAAACTTAATATTATTACCAACAATAAATACCAAAATATGGTAGTTATTAATAATTAGAACTGAATATATATATATATATATATATATATATATATATATATATATATATATATATATATTTGTATATTACTCCATGAAATTGAAGGCAGTACTTATACTACAATTATATGCACTAGTACAAAATAGAGAAAAAAAATATGACTTTAGGCTACCCTTCTTTAAACAAGGGTAGTGTATTATATTTAAAAAAGAGGGCAGAGTTTTAAATAAGGGACACGGAAACATCAAGGCTTTCCACGTACCCAAATCCGCTACTCTTGTACAAGGGTAGCGGAAAGCCCTATACAAGGGTAGCGGATGTTCATATCTGTATTAGTGATGGTTTATATAATTATATTTGCCATGCCTGATGTATCTTTTAAGATATGTCTTATGGGAGTTGAGTTTTTAAACTGCAGTAACTTCCATGTAACTTCTCCTAACTGCTATATTTGCATCTATATATATTTGGAGAAACATATGAAAATATGACATGCAATAAATTTGCATTAAACATAGATATATCACAATGCTACATTTCTACAGGAAATTCTTAAACAAAGCAACTTAAGCATTTCATTCATCTTTCTGTACCCCATAAGATTAAATCTTGAACCTTGTTTCTTTATATGAAGGAGCTTTAAAGCTTATATGAAAGTGATAACACGCCTGAAGATTTCATATCTTCACTTCCCTTCCCGTTCACTCAAGAATTTCTCCAACAAAACTTACCAGAGTCTCTGTTCCATTTCTCTCGTGAGAATAGAGAAAGCCACCTGAGGCTTGATTTTCCTTTTACTTCCTTCAAGTCTCAAACATTTCATGGACTGACTGACCAAGACATTATTGTTTAGACTGCCTTTGATCGTCCCCCTCAAAAAACTTAGCCTCGAATGGAAAGTGATCAGACGATTTCAAAGGTGCACAAAATTCCCTCACATATCACTCCCTACTGCCATTTATCAATAACCCAGATCATGTCATGCCAATGATTATTGAAAATATTCGTAGAGATTAAAGAGCATATCAACATGAAGCAAAACATTAACACTCCTAGTAGTGAAATGAAATTCATCAGAACAGAATAACGACCTAAGCAACCAAGTCTTCTCATCTTTGAACTCATCTTTAAACATGTAGGTAACACAAGCACTGGCAAGTAAATGACAACAAGGTTCTACTTTTTATTCAAAAAACTATCATCTAAATATCTGTACAAAACAGATGTACCAACAGACCCAGCATATTGTAGTTTTAGCAGCAATACAAACAAACAAGCATAGAAAATATAGCACCGGGAATTTCTATATATGTCTACATCTTATACACACTTCTATGATTTAGCCATAAGAGAAGCACTAATTGGGCTTAGCTTCCACAATATATTAGATATTTACTAAATTCTGAGCGTGTTCAATCAAGTTCATGCTTTGTCAGTGTTGAGCCATTAATGTGCAATCCAACTATCAGCTTAGGCTTTTAGTTGAGATGGAGCACATGCTTCAATTTGATATCAGAGCCATGCCAAAGGTCGTGGGTCGTGACGTGTGCGCTATCCATAAGCGACTATGGTCCACGTGTTGCTTGGAACCCACCGCACACGTGAGGGGGCATGTTGGGCCATTAATGTGCAATACAAGTATCAGCTTATGCTTTTAGTTGGGATGGAGCACGTGCTTCAATTGTGAGTACCGAGGTGAGTAGATTAGCTTTGAATTGGACCATAATTTTCTAGTCATAATCTTAGGTAGGCATCTATTTTAATGTTGGGTTCAAACAAAGTCATCAAATCACCTCTTTTGTATGTAATTTTCATTTCGTGCATTGCATGGGTGCAATACTAGTTTGGTACAAAATACAAGTGAGGTTGTGTTTGATGCCAAAAAGTGAAAATTCCACTGCTTGCAAAATATCACAAAACCGAGAGAATATCTCTAATTTTGCGCGTTTGCCGCCAATTGAGGCATTTCAACTTTTTAGTACAATAATGTTAATTTTTTTTTGAATGCTACTAGCTCTATTACAATGTAGTATCTGTTCGTATACTTTCTCAACCTACTGAAACACAAAGAGCCAATAACGCCTCCACTGAAGCTCGAACTCACAACCTTCCAAATAAAAGTTCAACCCGGGTACCACTAGACCACATAGTCCTGGTCAATAATCTTAATTAATATATATTCACATACACATTTTCAAAGTTAATACTTTTGTTTAAAACAAGACTTGTAATATTACAAATGTAGAAAATACTTCTAATCATTTGAACTTGACTTTTTATATTACTAAATTATGTGAGATTAATTAATTTATTAACACATTATAAAAATTGATAACTTATAAATATTATAAAATGTATTATAAAGTTTATTTGATTTTTAGTTACTAAAAAAATTTATAAAAGATTTAATATTTATAAAAGACATTTTGGAGCAGTGCCCGTCCCCACAAGCCAATGTTATATATTTTTATTGCATACTAATTTAGCCACACAATCTCACTTTTCCTTTGCCTTAATAAATCAAACTCTATGTGTTCCCTTCTTTTCTTAGCCGTTTACATAATCTCTTATCAAATTGCTATACTTAATCTCAATGCCATAAATTATGCAGTTAATTGAGTGCAGAATATTAAAGAGTGTTATTGGATAACAAATATACTCCACACGTATGACTGAACTCACAATGGTGAGATACCATCAGTATTATACACGAACCTAGAAAAAAGTATAGTTTTGGCTAGCTAGAAGGAAAAGAAAAAGTTGAAAATTGAACTCACAATATTTGTTTCACAATAAATACATTTATATTTTTTTTGTATAATGCACTGTTTGCATTTCACAAGAACATACTAATCAAGAAATAAAATCAAGGAGCTTTGCCCACATACTAAATACTTTACAATCATGTAATATTTCAACCACTTTCAGATTTTTACAAGATTATAAGATTTTAGAATTTGCACATAATGATTGTTAGGAACACATGTATTAGGATTTTGATGATACCAATGTAACATAGATAGTAGACCCCTAACTTTTTTTCATTTACTTTGCTACCTTCGTCTTAGACGAAAAGTACCATAACTCACCATGTAATTCGTGTTAAGTTAGTCAAACACACGAAACTGAGTTATGATCTTTTAGTTATGTTTCTTTGAACGAAAGAAGAGCTGTTTAATGAAGCAGAACCTCCTCTCAGATGGACCACGAAAGAACAGATGATAGTCTACAACCGAAAGCAAAAACCGAAAGAATTCTTGTAGTCTAGAGACATCAGTTCTGTCTGCCAAGACAATTCATCTTCTCTCAACTCAAGAAGAATGTTGTCAAATGTCTCATCTGATGATTATCCTAGGAATAAGCTTTCCTAAGAATGAGAGCACACTTATCAAGGTGTATTAAATGGCATAGTACCACTTTTCAGAGCTAGAAGACAAAACACGCAGGAGTGCTTGTCTCCAACGTCTATATGGTACAACTGCATTTAATGAAGCAATAAATGCACTAGGCTCTCCGGTTATTAACCACTTGATAATAGGTTTGAAATGCCATCTCCCTCCAACGGATGGATATTTTCTCTCCTATAAATACCCATCTTCTCCATGATAGAAGGTGCTGGTTTTTAGAACAATCGAATACTCATACTGAAAAGCTCCTTATACAAGTTCACTCTCTCAAGCTTTTGAAAACCAGTGATTCAAGGTGTGAAGGTTACAAGAAGACGCATTAGATCTCATTCGCACAACCTTGAAGAAGTCTTGCAATTTTGTATGCATTGATCATCCATCAATTCACCAGCCAGTCAAGACTTCATCGTGTTGGAGAACCTCGAATATTATTCTCATCCAACCCTCAACTCTGAATAAGACGTTGATAGAGGCGGAGTAAACTCTAGGAGTTGAAAAACCTTCAAGTAGTTGTCCGGCTTAGTGATCCAGGAAGCTATCTTGGTGTAATTTGTACTAGGAGTGATAGTGCAAACCTTTCACGAGTTTTGAAAGAAGAGTGGAGTAGGCACAGTTGGCCGAACCACTATAAAAATCTCTTGTCTCTCTCTCTTTACTTTTCAGTTCTTTACTTTCGTGCATTGCATATCATACGGCTTTAACCAAAAACATTCTTAAAAGAGCAAACAGTGCAAAGCAGTCTAAAATTCATATAACTTATCCGCTGCGTAATAACCCCGAAAGGAGTTATTTTCAAAGAAAACGAGTTGAGTCTATTCACCCCCCCCCCCTCTCTAGACAATCCTTTCGACCCTACCGGAACCAACACGTGGTATCAGAGCAGTTACCTTGAACGGTAAAAGCTTTGCCTTTACTGCCTGGTAGATCCCTTTTTATAAAAATTTCAAAAACTGCTTTTTCTCGCCTTTGCACTATTTTTCTAAAAGAAAATGGAAAAAGATCACTCTAACCGATCTAGGCCTCTTGCTTTCAATTTGTCTAAGTTTGCTGACTGGAAAGTCAGAATGCAGGCACATCTTTCGGCCATCCACGATGAGATGTGGGATGTCATATGCATAGGTCCCATCACGGTAATGATGGTAAACACCCAGGTCGCTGCACAGGAAGCTGATGCAGAAACAATGATTCCTAAACCAAAGTCTCAACTCACCTCTGATGAGAAAACTAGAGCAAACCTAGATAACGTTGCACGAGACATCCTCTACAAGTCCCTAGACGACTCCCTCTTCCCGAGAGTTCGTTAATGCAAGACATCCATGGAAATTTGGAACGTACTCATGAATTTGGGAGAAGGAGAGGAGCAAGAAAAATACAACAAATTTACCGTGGCCATGAAGAAGTTCGAAGACTTCAAGATGATGCCCAACGAAGCTATTACCGACATGGAGCTCAGATTCACGAAGCTATCACCGACATGGAGCTCAGATTCACAAAGCTCATGGGTGATCTCTCAGACCTCGGAAAGGAGCTTACTGAAAAGGAAAAGAACTTGAAGATTATTCGAGGACTCCCAAAATCATGGGATATGAAGGTCATAGCAATGAGAGATCATCGCGACATGAAAACTACTAGCACAAACAAAATCTTCAGTGATCTGAAAGCATGTGAGTTCGAGCACGAATCGAAGGAATCGGAAGAACTCGAGATCAGAAATGTAGCCTTGGTGGCCAACCAACAAGCATCAACGTCAAATAGGTCAACTTCTAACTCTTGCAATTTTTTATTTGACGAACAATATGCTTTGTTTGTAAGGAAAATGAAAAGGTTTATGCAGAAGAACAACTTCCAAGACTTTCAAAGACCATCAAGCCGAAGGCAACATGAAAGATCTTCACTTCCACCAAGACAAGAAACAATGGATTCCCAAATGCTGTGCTGCAACTGTCGAAAGCCTGGACATTTCAAAGCAAATTGTCCACATCCATTGGCCAGCAAACATCAGGACACCGGTGTTATAAAAAGCACATCAAAAGAAAGCAGCGAGTCCATCAAACAAAGTGACAAACTAGAGACATCAAACTCAAGAAACGAGATAAGAAGAAAAGCAATGGTCGTGAATGAAACGGCTGACAACATAGAAACCGAGAGCAGTTCCTCAAGCTTAAGCTCAGATGATGATGGCGCTGAAGAAGAAAATGGACTGCTGTGTCTGTTCAGCGAGGAAGAAGAATTAAATGAATTGTGCCTCATGGCTCAAGATGAAGAGGTAGATTCTCAATCCTCTTCCTTTCTTTCATTAGAAACTAGCTCAACCAGTGACAAAAATTCCAATGAATCAGTTAGTGAAATGATGTGGAAATTTACGATCATAAATAGCACATACTCAAAACTAAAAGAGGAGAACTCTCGACTATTGATCAGCCACAATGAGCTAAGGCGATTTCAAATAGAGAACATAAAGCTAGCCATTGTAAAAGATCAGCTCGAAAAGCAAGTTCTATCTCTTAAAGAGCAGTGTACAGAAATGGAGATATGGGAGCAAAAATTGCGTGAGATTCTTGATTCGTTCAATAATTCGTCCAATCTAATGGACCGAATGGTAAATGGATCAAAACCGCTTGGGGAAAGAACCGGAATTGGTTATGACCTCGGCTCCTCTTCACATGTCGCCTTAAACAAACCCACAAATGTCTATACTCGTGAAAGTTTTAAATCTGCTTTTATTCAAGGCCCCACTCAAGTATTTGAGCCAGTGACCAGGGTTTACAATGGTGAAGTACCACAATCAACAAGCTTACCTAAGGTAACGGCTGTACAACGAATTGTGGAACCGAGAAATGAAAACTCCTTGAAAGGAAATCCTAGGCACAAAAATGCCAAATGGAATGGACCAAAAGGCAATAGATCTAATCTATACCAAAAGAAGGTTCAACCTACATGTAATAATCAATCGAGGACAAAACCGAATGTTAATCAGAGGTAAAATCGTTCTGAGTATACACGAAAGGATCCTCAACGAGGAAATCCGAAACCAAGAAATGAACGTTATAGACATGCCGAGAGGTCAGTCAGAAGACCGAAGAAAGTCAACGTATGGAGTTGACCATCCGAAGAAGATTGGTTTGATTATCCCGAACCTTTGTCAAAATCGCAATTTGACAAAATACATCAGCACAAACAAATCAATTATTCCAGGTAGTATAATAAGCCACCTGCTGATTATTTCCTAGAACGTTATAAGAACAAAACCTTTGCTAAAATCTTTTATGATTATCGAACATTCAATGGGTACAGAGGACTGAGAATGAGTCGAGTTAACTCTAGGTTCGTATGGATCCCGAAGTTGACTATTAATCCCACAGGACCCGAAACCGAAGGGGTACCTAAAAATGCATAATCTTTCTTGCAGGAAAAAATAGGTCATATGGTATGTAGATAGTGGATGCTCAAGACATATGAATGGTGACAAAAAAAATTTGAGCAACTTTAAGGAAATTGATGGTCCAAAAGTAATCTTTGGAGGAGAAACGAGTGGTAAGACTCGTGGGACAGGGGATGTCATCAAAGATGGCATAACAATCCAAAATGTCTCGTACGTTGAAGCACTAAAGTTCAATCTGCTGAGCACAAGTCAGTTTTGCGACAAAGGATATAACGTCAAATTGTCCAAAGATAAATGCAATTTTGTCAGCATGAGAGATGGTGAAACAGTTCTCATAGCAAAACGAAAGAAAAACATGTACGTTATCACTTGGAACTCATTTAGTGCTAATGTTTGTCTTGTGGCAAAATGTAATGCAGATTTAAGCTGGGAATGGCACAACAAGCTGAGCCACTTAAACCTAGAGACAATCAACAAGCTTGCAAAGAAAGATCTAGTAGAAGGTCTACCGAAAGCAACCTACGTTAAAGACAAAATTTGTGAGGCTTGCCAAAAAGGAAAACAAATCAAGACTTCATTCAAGTTAAAAGAGTCAGATATAAACTCTCGTCCATTGAGCTTGTTACATATGGACTTATTCGGGCCAGTAGACCCCGCAAGTCTAAGTGGACGAAAATATACTCTGGTTGTAGTAGATGACTACAAAAAGTATACTTGGACATTATTCCTAAAGAAGAATTATGAAACATAAATTGTTCTACCTGATCTCCTAAGAAAACTTCAAACTGGAAAGGAAGTCAACATAATAAGGATTATATCAGATCAGGGAACCGAGTTTGTAAACAAAGTCATCAAAGACTTCTGCAGACAAAATGGCATATTTCACCAACTCTCGGCAGCACGAACTCCACAACAAAACGGAGTTGCCGAAAGAAGCAGCACGAACATTGATCGCACATTCTGGTCTGCCTAAATGTTTTTGGGCCGAACCCATAAATACAGCTTGCTACACGCAAAATCGATCCTTGAACAACAAAGCTCACAACCTGACTCCATACGAGTTATGGAAAGGTAAGAAACCTGTTATTAGTTATTTTCACATCTTTGGATGCAGGTGCTTCATTCATAACAACGGGAAGAATCATCTAAGAGCTTTTGATGAAAGAGCTGATGAAGGACTGTTTATGGGATACTCTTCGGTCAACAAAGCCTATAGAGTTCTTAATAAAAGAATGATGGTCATAGAAGAATCGATACATGTTAAATTTGATGAACAAGCCGAGAAAATCCATGTTCAGATAAATAAATCAATTGCACAAAGCTCAAACACTCAGGAGAGCGTAACATTTGAAGAAGAAGACTCAGATCTTGAAGATCATCTCCCATCTTACACGAGATATCAACCAAAGTCTACGCATCCCGAATCTAGAGCTCAAACTGATGAACGAACACAAGTCATTGATCCAAATGTTCAATCTTCCTCTGAACCAATGATATATATTAATATACCCTACATTCCTGAAATGGATGGTCAAAATCAACCAACATCGTTTGAACCAGATCTAAGATGGCTAAGAGACCATCCACCCGATCAAGTCATTGGAAACATACAAGAAGGAGTGAAAACTAGAGCCTCTTTACACGAAAATATGATGGCCTGCTTTATTTTGCTAATGGAACCAAAGTCTATTGACGAAGCCTTAAGTGACCCAGATTGGGTCATAGCCATGCAAGAAGAACTTCATCAATTTGAACGAAACAATGTATGGGAACTTGTTCCAAGACCTACACATCATAATGTCATTGGAACCAAATGGGTATTCAGAAATAAAATGAGCGAAGATGGTCTTACTGCTAGGAACAAAGCCCGACTTGTTGCTAAAGGCCACTGTGAAGAAGAAGGTATTGATTTTTATGAAACCTTCGCCCCAGTTGTCAGGCTTGAAGCAATACGAATGCTTCTAGCCTATGCAGCGCACAAAGATTTCAAAGTCTGCCAAATGGATGTCAAAAGTGTGTTCTTAAATGGACTTCTGGAAGAAGAAGTATATGTAGAAAAACCACCTGGTTTCGCTATTGATTGTGGACAAGAAAAAGTATATCATCTCAAGAAAGCACTATATGGACAAAAACAAGCTCCATGAGCTTGTTATGATACTCTCTCGTACTTTCTCATAAATTGTGGCTTCACGAAAGGAGCTGTTGATAAATTCGAATAAAAAATGATGATCATGTATTATTGGTCCAAATCTATGTTGATAATATCTTCTTTGGAAGTACAAATCCGGATCTGGGTGAAAAAATTTCAAATCTCATGCAAGGAAAATTTGAAATGAGCATGATGGGAGAATTAAACTACTTTCTTAGCTTGCAAGTCAAACAATGTCCAGAAGGGATATTCATCAATCAATCCAAATATACCTAGGACTTGATTCGTAAATTTGGAATTGATGGAAAGTCCTCAGTTAAAATTCCTATGAGTACATCATTAAGAATGGATATTGACAACGAAGGGTAAGATGTTGATCAAAAGAACTTTTGTGGAGTCATTGGATCTCTTCTTTATCTAACAACAAGCAGACCTGACATTTCTTTTGTTGTTGGGGTATGTGCCCGAAAGGAAACTCTTTTGATCTCGTTGGCTATTCAGATGCTGATTTTGCTGGCTGTAGAATTGATCGAAAAAACACCTCAGGAACCTGCCAGTTCCTGGGGAGAAGACTTGTATCTTGGTTTAGCAAAAAGCAAAACTCAATTGCAACTAGCACAGCTGAAGCCGAATACATAGCGGCTGGCAGTTGTTGTGCACAAATCTTGTGGATGAGTCACCGATTAAAAGATTATGGCATAATAGCTCGAGAAGTGCGCATAAAGTGTCACAATAGAAGTGCAATAGCCATTACACACAATCCTGTTTTACATTCTCGAACGAAACATATTGATATCAAGTATCACTTTATTCGTGATAATGTTGAAAGAAAGAACATATCCCTTGAATATGTCAATACTGATGATCAATTAGCAGATATTCTTACTAAACCACTTTGCGAGAATAGATTCGCCACATTTCGCCATGAAATCGGGATGATTGAATTGACCTAACATGTTTGCGTGTTAAGAGGTTCTCGCCCAAAAGATTCCTGAAAAGATTCAATAAAGAAGATCTTGGGAAAGCAAAAAAGGAACATGTTAGACTATTTCAGCACACAAGATGACATCCTTTCGCGCTATAAAAAGACATATTTCTTAGCTCAATAAGTTCACACTAACTCTTTATTCAAGTGTATTTCGTTTGGAAATCCTCTGTCTGCAGGTATGAGTACAGGAAAAGGAGAAAAGAAGACGAATAAAGAATGTGAGAAGCAAAAATCAACAAACTCGAAGGCTGTTCAAAATCATCCTAATGAAACCGAAATCTTTCATGATCCTCTTGAAAAAGAAGAAAACAAGGATGCTCTGGACAGAATGATAGCAAGTTCACGATACTTGCAGAATCTCCTTCGTGACCCCACGGAACACGAATCTCATAAATCATTCTGTTCTGTTGACAGTCCTGTGGGATACGCTGACGTGGACAGCGTACTCGAAAGGAGTGATAGCTATGACTACTCACCGTCAAGCACTCTACCAAAATTGTCTTCACCTCTTAGTTCAACAGCTAGCAGCAAGAAGAAAAAGATCGAATTGAATGCATCCTTGTATCCTCTCTTCTTTGCAAGCATAATGATTATTTCTTAATGATACGTTGTGCACACAAATGCGAACCTAATGAATGAAAATTCTCATATTTCGGATAAAAACATGAGCATTATGCGAAAACGTTAGGAATATATTGTAATAGATTTTGATATGCCAAATTGTATTTTAGAATCCCCAATTTTATTTGTTAAGTCTAGGCGTGTCATAGACCATGAAAGGAAAATTAACAAATTTGAAGAAAGGGAAAAATACGAAGAAGAAGATGTATGCATATGATATGTATACTAAAATAAGCCCACACGCCCAACTCAAAAAAGAAGTCATACTGATGAATCTCATATGAAGAAACGAGAAGCAAACGAAATTGCATGAACTTATCTTGGAAATCAAGCATCTATGGAAAGAAAGAAGTACAAAAAGGAGAATGCTATAATGACTAATAATCTATATAGCCGAAGTGGATGAAAGTTTGATGTTTAAACCATAAGGTTTTAGGTTCAAAACTCAATTCCTACAATTTTATAAGGCATCTTTAAAGAAGCCTTAGATCAGCTCTAAGAGATGTAGTAGGAGCTGACGTTTCAAAAGTGGTTTCGAAATCAAATCAAGATGTAGTTTGCAAGTCAAAAATGAAGTTAGAGATGCAGTATGGGGTCTTAAAATGAAGTTGGAGATGCAGTATGAGATGAATAGAACTTGGATCTGAAGTAAGAGCAGTATGAGATGAATAGAACTTGGATCTGAAGTAAGAGATGCAGTTTGCAAAGTATGAAGTCTTAAAATGAAGTTGGAGATGCAGTATGAGATGAATAGAACTTGGAGCTGAAGTAAGAGATGCAGTTTGCAAGTCAAAGTCTTCATAAGTCAAAAATGAAGTTAGAGATGCAGTATGAAGTTTCATC